ATTAGGTCTGTTCCAACAAGAGTCAGGGATTGGTTCCCAACCGTTCGAAATGTTTGGTCAGCTAAGTTCTAAATGTGTCTTCACTGAATATATCGCAAGAATTAGTTGGATGCACATTTCGAACGGTTCGGAACCAATTCCTGACTCATGTTGGAACAGACCTAATGTATAATTACCTTTCGCTCCTTTTTTACAGAATTTCGATATCTTGACTTGGGCAGGAGATATACGCGCTCGCATTTTCGACTTTATAAATTTGCAGTAGGTCGTCATTTTGAAATTGGAGGTCCGGATTGCGGATATTTGTTGAGCACCCCAACAGTTATCTTTCCATGTAGTTTCATCCAAACTTAAGTTTTAAATTTGTCATAATAACTGTTTATTTGATCACGGTCAGTCAATTAAAAAAAGATTTAAAATAAAAAAATCATGACAAATAAAATATTCCATCATACACTGTTAACGGGAACTGAATTATATACCCACAACAAAATTTCTGTCAGTTTTACGACAAGAACTATGATTTAAGAATACGAACCTCCATATTCAGTTTATTAACAACGCTGACAGTAGTAACAGCTTCTCTATTATCAACCTCGTAAAATATATTTTGCTTACTGAAAACGACATTCAAACTGTTCGTAATAACACAGAACGACGCACTGTGACTTACGAGTTCCCTGAAAGAGGATATAAATATATACCACACTACAAACTGCTTGCAAGCATTAATTCAGTTCCTTTTAACGTTTATTACAGCAGTAGCGACTCAAAAATACTACTTGTTCGTTCTTTACACGGATACATTAGTATTTTAAAATAAACATAAGTATCACTTAGAAATTGTTAAAACTTGTCTTTTCCGCTGAAACTTCTGTCTAGTTAGACATTAATTATTATACAAGGTTGGACGTTTTCAGACCTGGTTGTCAGGTCGTCTGTTTACGTAAACCTATCGGTTTCCTTTTCTGCAGTTAAAGTCGAAATCTCTTGAAACAGAGCAAAATACGTTTATTTCTGTGAACTTACCTGTGTGACAGGGTCCTTCATGATGAGGACGTCGGTGACGTTCCCGAACATTCCAAAATACTCCTTTAGCTTCTCGCTGGACGTCTGCCAGCTGAGCCCGCCAACGAAGAGCTTGCCCGGGGCGGGATCGTTCGAGTTGTTGGGAGTGCTACGGCCCGACGACCCGGAATGGCTGCCGTTCATGGGCACCAGAGATGGGTGCACGTCGTGGTGGTCGATGATGCCGTTGCCCTCGCCCATTGAAGTACTGCGGATGAAAATCAGATCTGATTAGACGTGCAACGTTTTGAAGGGATTGTGACGATTTCCTGTCGGCTAGCAAAGCTGTTTCTATCAAGAATTGGGATAATTGTAATAGCGATGTTGGGAGACATTCATTTCCTTAGGAATTGTCTTTAAAAATTGTTATTTTGTCCCTTTAATGGGAGGAATCAACGTAGAAAATTTGTCATAACCTCAATGTTACATCCTGTTTTTGAATATGTAACACTTTTGTTCAATGATTCAAAACCACGAGGAAAGAAATTAAATTATATCTACCAATTCTGTTAGAAACAACTTCATTCAGCTCATTCGCGCACTTTCATTATCGATGATAATCAAATGGGGTTTGTTATTTTGTTGGAAAACTCAAATATACATGTGTCATAAAAATATAAAATACACAGACCTACATAAATGATCAGTATATACACCGCAAATATTCAGTTTGCTGTACAAAACTACAAATAGATATTCTAGAATTTGCAAAAATGTTTCCGCAGATGACCAATGCTACTAGGAAGTAAACTTTCCATGGAAATAAGAACATGTTACACCTAACTGATAATAGCTAAATTTTGCTGCTTCTTTTCAGCTGTTTCCCATATTGATAGTGTGTGCACTAAATATGGCATGGATAACTTTTTGTACCATCAAAGGTTTCATGAAGGCGGATATAGGTTTGTAAGTACATATTTAAGTTACTATTTGCTTTAGTAAAAACGTAAAACCTCTTTTTAATCCAATACATTGATCAAGGAATTGACTACTTGGCAATTGTTTCCAATTTATTAATAACTAGTGTTGGTTATCTTCTACGCAATCGATAAAATCTTGCACACATAAAAACTACGTTGTAACCCCTTGCTTTTTAGCCAAATACGACAGCATTCTGCAGTGCAGATTCTTTTTTAGTCCAACCAATGATAGTTTTTAATATACAGGCTTGGGCAAATGTGTCGGAACACCTGTGTACAGTTTTTGTAGTATTTTTATTCTTTTCAATGTCGTAATTTAATTTCCAACATCTACTTTACGTATAGAGATAGGGCGTTGTCGGCAGTTTTTTTTAAATGAACCGCCCTGTTTATTTTAAAACATTTTTGAAAAAACAGATATTTCACCGATTACAATGATGAAGGGTTTGATGGGTCTGCGATTTATTGTTTTTTAAATGTTGAATGAAACAATAAAATAAAGAGTTGGCTGTTTACATTTTTGTCACTAACACCTGAAAAAGTAATCGGATTTGCTATCGTTTTTGCAAATTTTGTTTAAAAGAAATCAAATCATTTATTCCTGTCAGATTCAGTCAATAGTGCCAGAGATTTATAACTTATGAAGATTGCTATTCAAACTTCAAGTTATGGGTGAACTAAGAGAACGTGAAAGAATTTCGTTGTTGATGATGGTTGGTTTTGAAGACAGGAAGAGATCTGCGCAAGATGCATGCAATATTTTTAATGCAACTTTCCCCTGGAAGAAATTCCCATATTTCAAAATCAACGGTTTCAAAGGTTGTGAAAATGTTTCATGAAACTGTAATTGTCAAAAATCTTACAAAATCCGGCGCACGTAAATCAGCTACAAATGAAGACAAGTCACTAGATGATCTTCTCAATCTACAAGAACTAAAAGCTTCAGTGTCTCAAGTAACCTTATATCACATTAGCGAGAGATCAGTAAGGAGGATTTTGTCCAAAAATAAATTTCATACGTATAAAGTACATTTGGTACAAGAATTAAATGAGGATGACCCTGATAGGAGGATGCAATTTTTTGAAGAAATTATGAACATTGAGAATAATGGAAACTTTGTCAATAATATACTTTTCTCCAATGAATCGACATTCTGCTTGACCGGTTTTGTAAATCGACATAACTGTCGTTACTGGAGTAATCAAAACCCACATTAGATAGAAGAAAATCACACTCAATATCCTCAGAAATTAACTGTACGGATGGGAATAATCAGAGAACACATCATCTTCCCATTAAATCTTAGAAAAAAACTGAACTCTAATCGGTATTTACAACCTTTGCGTGAGCAAATTGTTCCAGCATTGATTCGGTTATTTCCAAATCAAGCATCCATCCTGAACTACTTTCAAATGACATTTGGTACCAACAAGACGGAGCTCCGCCTCATTATGAAGTTGAGGTACGTCGGTACCAAAATAATGTATTTCCACAGAGATGAATAGGACGAAGAGGACATATTAAATGGAAGCCGCGATCGCCAGATTTAAGTCCGTTAGACTGTTTCCTTTGGGGTCATTTAAAATCTGCCGTCTACAAGACCAAACCTCAGTCGTTAGAAGAGTTGAAAGATCTAATTAGGACAGTCGTTCAAGAAATATCACAGCATGTTATTCAAAATTCCTGAAGAGCCTTTGTTGATCGATTGTGATACCTATTGTAAGGTTGCTGAAAGTCACCAGTTTGAATATTTATTATGAATCTTTTATTTAATATTCAAATGTTCCATATTTTGCAATAATAAATTTCATTTTCATTAAATAAAATGTTTACTCTTTATTTTATTGTTTTATTCAACATTTAAAAAACAATAAATCGCAGACCCACTAAACCTTATATCATTGTAATCGGTGAATATCTGTCTTTCTAAAAATGTTAAAATAAACAGGGCGGTTCATTTAAAACCACCGCCGACAACGTCCTACCTCTAAAAATGAAGTAGATGTTGGAAATCAAAGTACGACATTGAGGAGAATAAAAATACTACAGAAACTTTTGTTAAAGGTATTTTTTAAATCAAACTTATGGTTTACCCCGTACACAGGTGTTCCGCCACATTTGCCGATATTATCAATAATAACTTTTACTAAAAATATATCCGGGCGTGGAAATTTCTACTTTGCGAGCACTTTTTATCGGTGTAGAAAAGCGTAGAGGGCAAATAAATAAGGCTGATAAGAGCCAGATGCTCGGGCCGATCGATAATTTTCAAACGGGACGCCAGAAGTTGGGCCAAAGAGGCGACGGTGTAACGACAATAACGGAGTTAGATGACAGAAGGAAGACATCGGAAATTGCTCAGGGTAAACGGGCGAGGTGAATGAAAAGTGTCTGATGGCGTGTATGTGTGTGTTGCAGGACGAGAAAAACCAGGCGGCACCGCGAGCTGACGGAACTGCTCCTCGATCCGGTCAACAGAAAGGTAAGGATCCCGATCAATACCCTCCCCGTGCACGTGTATATACATTAGTGATGTGGGGTGCGGCTGCGGCGGCGGCGCAAGACGGTTGCCATGACGGCGATTGAGCGAGGGGTTGCTCATCTCCCCTCGTCGTTCAGTCGGTGTTCGCGGCGCGGTGTGCAACTACCTTCCTGCCTACGAGACGGCCCGGCTGTGATATTGTCCTGTCACAGCAGTACTATTTCGAGATACTGCTGCTTCGGGACATGCCCACAGCTGGGCCGACACCATCACCGTGACCGTGAGTGTCGCCCAGGTGCCTCCACCGAGACCCCCGCAGGATACGCACACATGTACCCACTCGTAAAACAAAAACACAACTAGAGTCCTTAGAGTAGCCTTAGAGTTTTTTTTGTAACGATCACTGTTCAGTCTAGATACGTTTTTTCTACAACCCCAATGTAATATTATTGATTGTATGTACGTAGCGCCCCACATTACAAACTTGTGTTTGCACACTATGCACCTGTACCGGCTAACTGTATCTCTTTAGCTTTAAATGTATAGTTGTAGTGAGTAGAATAAACGCACAATAAATCTCCATGTTTTCCTTCCATCCCAAACGAGAACCTCCTAGAAAAATAAATGTCATTGTTAGGAGTTAAGAGGGAGTGACAGCCGGTCGATAGCGGCGGAGCGGGTGCGAATCGCAGCCGCTGTGGCGCTGTCCTCGTTTCGCAACAGCCTCCGCCATCTTGCAGATTATCCGAGCACTTTTTCATAGCTCGGAGGGGGATGTGGCGAAGCAAAAAGATAATGCTGACGCAAATGGGTACAAACAATGGTGAGGAGGGGGGAAGGGGGCGAACATTGATTTTCTTAATTCAATTAACGGTTCACAAAATTCGAAACCGATGATGAAATTTACAATATTTACAAAGGACCTGAAAAATAATCAACTCGGTTGTAATGAAATACAGTGTGCTATTAATAAAACTAAGTAGATGATTTACAATTTTACCTATTTCGCCTATATTAACTCTTGTGATCGGCTATATGGAGAAGTAGTATAAGCACTTTTCTGTAAATATGCGACGCCCACTACAGTAGTGTAAATATTTATTCTGCTTGGTAAAATATACATAATGAGTGAGTGACTTTTTATGAAATGTCTCTTTCTTACTGAGTTATTAACTAAACAATGTTCTTCATGATTATGTGCAAAGTTTAACAACATCAATCATCGAACTACACAATGACAAGCAATCTAACTTAGGTATTATTTACTGAAAGTGTTATTTTCTTTTGTATGCTTAGTCACTCAACAAAAATATGCCGGAATACTTGAGAACAAATGGTTATAACAGTATTTTAATAAAGAAAAATTAAAATTAAATGCCTTTTTATCCCCAAAGTTGCTATAAATAGAACACACATATTCTCAAATTGTGTATTTTCATCCTCTCATTTTAAATAATTAATTTAATCTGCAACTTGACGTGTAGTGCTTTTAAATTTTGTAAATGTGAGAATATAATAGAAAAAGGTAGGTTAGCAAGCTTGTTTTCCCCCTTAGAAAAAGATTAAAGCATATTTATCACTCAATTAAATTGTTTAACGATTCAATTTATTCCTGCATGCAACAAATTTTTGATATGCAAACTACACCTAAATTCTCACAGCGTGATAGCTTAAATCGAAATAAATAATAAGCTATTCCTAGCTCGAGCGCTTATAGCAATTTCATATCGAATCCTTGGCCAGATTTCCGTTTCAGCGGGGAAAAAGGGCGTGAAAATTTCGGGGGCAGGATTAAGTCCAAATCA